CTCGAAAGTCATTTGAATGTAAATTTGGCAGCTGTTGTTCCTGATCCCACTTTTAGAATACACAATGTCCAAGCCCACTGGAGTGAAGAAAAAGCTTTTCTTTCCCCCAACTGTGTGAAAAAAAAACAGTCGTCCAGAGAAAAGCTAGTCACATTTCATAAAAACACCCAGCTACACTTCACATTTAAAAAGTAATGCCGCAAAGCCCTGACAGCTGCCTAGCCATACCAAGAATGTGTCTCCTTCAATGAGAATTTTCCTAAGATTAACCAAGTTTCACTAAAGAGAAGGAGAGCGAGAAAATTCCCTCATTCAGCAACTCGCAAACCCTCATTCAGCAACTCGCAACAGCTCAGTTGACCAGCCACCGTACAGTAATTCTGGAAATGAAGAGCGCTACAGCATTTTTTTCCCCTCTCTCTCAACTTTCAAGTCCAATAAAACATTGCTATCTTGACAGGCTGCCATTAGCCATACATACGATAAATCACAGCTTGACAGACTGCAGCTTCGACTAAACATAATGCTCCGGGCAAGCAAATACACCCCCTGCACCCTATGCACTCATCATCGCCATTAATAGCGTTCATGTTGAGAAGGTGAACGGGAAGGCTGCATTTGTGAAGCCCAGCTAATGCACCAACTCTACCGCGTGAAAGTGATTTATACGCCGTCTGAGAGGGACAAAGCAAAGCTCTGATCGTTTGAGCGTGCGAAAATTAGCAGATTCCTCCCAAAACAAGCAACCGTGACAATAAGCTTAATTTACAGTAAGATCTACTTTTCCTGTCAGAGCGACACACCATTTAAACAAACAGAGGTGGAAAACAATGATGTATTGCTTTGATAAAGGTACTGTAAAGTCACGAGTGAGGCCTTTCTGAGAGCTAATTACTGGATGCCATGGAAGCTGTTGGTCGTTTGTCATTGCAATATTTCAGGAAAAGCGTTTTATCAGGCAATTATCACAATAAAAAAAAAAGCCATGGTAAGGACTTTTAAAAAAGCATGTTTATCTGTTGAAGGGTGTTTTCTCCTTGTTGAACAATTGTGTCTATTGTTAACTGAAATCCATACTATCTGTAAAAGTATAAAATCATTGCATTCACTTGCATTTCTAAAGATTTCACATTTCTTGCATTTATATTTCTTTATTATTTCTTACTAAAATAGTTTAGACTTTTGTTAACTCAAACCAATAGTATACTTACAAAAAAATAAATATATTATTCAAAGAACTTTTTTTTTTTTTTTCATTTTAGGCAACTTTTCTAAAGATTTCACAGTTTGTTGCATTAAAGAGTTTGCATTTCTAAGCATAAACAAACTTTTGTCAAATAATCCACACTATACATACATTAAATAAACATACATCAAAATAAAGATGCCAATCGGACACATTATAATTTGAATTTCTAGGGAATTCTACATTTCTTGCTAGATGATTGTGAACTAAAAACCTAGATTAAAAGTTATACAAAGAAAGCATTTTTCCAATTTTTTTCCCTAAGTGTAAACATTTAGACTTGTGTCAAATAATATCCATACTATATGCATATTAAAAGAAAGATGCCCAATTTAATGCATGATAATTAGCATTTCTAAGGAATTATGCATTTCCTGCACCAGTAATTCAGCTGATCTTGTACTGCTATTGCGTTGTCCTCGCTGTCTGCAAGTAAAAACACACCTTTAACATATTTAGCTTAGAACTTCCAAATTTGTTTTAACAAAATCAAGTAGGAGACAAATGACACTTTTATTTTTCAACAAACTAGCTTGGAAACTGACAAGTGGCCATTAGGACAAATTGGCGTTTATGGTTTACGTGTAGCCATTGCTTTTAATCTTGGTATATAGTGGGGGTGGTGGTATTTACAGCACTATAAACTTGCACACAATAAAACCCTAATTGCATTAGCAGTCAGTGAGGGTCACACAACTTTCACATTGAGCACAGGAGTGAGGTCACAATTATAATGCAGTTCATTGATCCGATATACGTTTGTTCATAACCACCCCATGTACTAAAAAAAAAATATTTCCTTATTTTCATTAAAACCCAACAATGTACTTAACTATAGCTCATTGAAACACTACTAGACTGTGCTGTCGAAAGGATTTGTCACAGAATATCTGAGTTCTGGTGACATTCTTCATAATCTGATGAGAGATCTCACACTCTCGTGGCAATTCATACATCTTTTAATATTTTGGTGAATTAGTGGCGAATTCATATAAATAGGTCTACTTATCTCATCATAAGAATCTCATTCATAAAATCTGTTTGGTACAATCTGCTTACAACACACTGAGGGTTAAGTTTAGGGATGGACCTTAATGCCACGGTTTTTTTTTTTAAATCACATTTTTCATACAAAATCGCCAACTTGTTAAACAGTTTTCTCCTGAGATCTGGGTTGGTTTTCAAACAGTTTTCTGCAAAATCATCCCTTTTCTGCTATTGGTTGGGAAAACAGATAGCCACACCCCAAATTCACATGATTGGCTGAGCCAATATTGCTTGGTTCGGCTGCTTGCTCAAACAAACAGAGCAATGTTTTGAATTTAAGACAAACTGAAGAATTGTGGACTTGCAAGAACAGTCTCAAGACCGTAAAAGTAGGCAAATGGCCAAAAAGCAGTCTGACGTTTCTTTCTCACTATGGGTGTATCAGCTTATGTTTCTGATCCGTGGTTGAGCAGGAAAAATGCTTCACTGCACAAGAGTCTTGTGAAGACAGTGATCAGATGTCTGTAGCACTGCAGGGATAAAGAGACTTGGCAGGGGTGCAATTCTGGGGCTCTTTAATAAGAGGAAGGTGCAATGAGCAACACTTCACACACTGCGTGTTCACCTTCCATTGATGTCTACACTCTTTCACAATAGCTCAGCTATGAAGCCTTATTACATGAGAGACTCCGCATCTCGACTGGAAGAGTCACTGGGGAGCTCAAGCAATTCATTGGTTTGTTTCCATCATTGGTTCATCTCATTGCGGTTCCTCAGATGGCTTCAAACAAGTCAGTAGCTTATGAAACCAAACCCACAAAAAATAGCTTGAACCATTAGAAAATAGGCATTTTGATGCGTTCATTAGCAAAAGTAAAAATATCCAAACTTATGTAATCTTATATGACCTCACAAATAGACCACATGCAAGTTAATTCTCATAAAGATTACTCTTGAGGAGTAAAGGAACATTGCATAATGTAAAAAAGAAAATGATTAGAAGAAGATAAAAGAGTAAAGAAATGAGTCTTATGTTTTTCTTCGTTCTCTTTGTAAGGGTGAACAAAGGGAGTTGCATGGGCTTTTCTTTTCATAGAAATCACTTGTGTGGTGACCAGGGTCCTCATCAACTTGGACCAACGGGAGAATACAGGGCCGTCCTCGAAAGGTCAAACCAATGGGGACCCACCAACTTCAGACTCATTTAGTACCACTTCACAACACCTCACGGCACACTACTCGAATTTAACCCCATGAAGCTTGTTATCCTCAGGCTCAAACACAGTCTTACAAAATGTAACATTAATTAATATCGAACTTTATATGCCTCTGAAGATGAATTAACAATTATATTTGGTTATTATCTGGTCTTTTTTCAAGTCCAGTAGCCCCAAAAAGAATCTTGAACTCTTAAGATGCACTTAAAAATAATCTAGAATTTCAAACCAATGGAATACGTGAACTAACTTCAATTTTCGGTATAATTCTGCACTTTAACCAAATGGTTCCTTGATCATTTTAGTGAATGTGTGAAGTCAGTTCTCCTTAAGTTCACACAGGTGTTCTAGCAGAGTATCTATAGGTCTAGTTCATCACATTAACTATGAACATGTTCCACTAATGTTTGACAACCACGAAGTCCCCAAATACCACAGTATATCATCAGTTTTTTTTCCACCCATTTAAAACCCAACCATTTTCTTTTGATACATGTTTGGCTTTAATGTGTGCTGTCTTTCCACCATTTGGTTTGATATTGTTATCTAATGCAATGCCATGCACATCTGCCATGCGATTCTGTGTATATTTTATGTATACTGTGCAAGATGAAACATCTCTTCTATCAATCTACTATACATTTTTCAACGGCCCTTCTGTTGAAAATACTAGGCTGTGCGTATGCGCATGTGTGCTACTGAATAAAAAAAAACACGTTTAAGATCTCAAAGCATTTTATTCTCTCCCTCTCCATGCTTGCTCATTCCTCAAATAGAATTAATGTAAAAATGACAATTACAATTTTTTTTTTAAATAAAATACTGGTAGCAGTTCATATTTTAAAGTGCAGCGGCATTAGTATTCTCAGTCCATGCACAATATTCAGACACTATTTGCTATTTTCCCCCTAAAATACAACAGCAATAGCCATGAACTCCCCTCACAATGAACCCTCAGACCCCAAATAGGAGGGTGTTAGAGAGTAGGAGTAAAACTGGAGCTATAAATGCCCATTTGCATCACAGGATCAATCTGGAAACGCAGTATCCCACTGCCAGAAAACACTGCTAACAATCCTACCCTAGAAAGCCGAACACTGTCTTCTCTATATCCTTACACTATAGCCATCCATCCAGATTACACCCCTAAGTGAATGATACAGGGGTGAAACATGCAGCGCTAAGCAGGTACACCCTTGGCCCGTTAATATGGGATGGATGTCGAGTCCAAATGCTGGAAAATGCCCAAAATGTCCCAGTCAACGAAAACTAACTTCTATTTAAACTGTTAGACTGAGTCAAAAAAAGAGAAAGAGATATGAATCATTCATCCTTAAGCAATAATTAATGGTTTTACATGGTAACAGAGTGCACCCAAGCCCTCTTTACTTTGCACTGCCCTTTCATGCTGCAAGTTTACAAGCTGCTCCATAATAAATAACAGAGGAGGCTGCGCGTAATAGTATCAAGCATCCTCGCGCACTGCCCAAACCAAACGCTCCAGCTGTTTCTGCAACCGCACGCACTTTTCTCGTGAACATGCATCTCACCATTGCTGAAGAAGAAGGCGTCTATCCAGCGTCTTGCAGGTTACGGTCGCTTTTCCGGAAGGTGTTATGCTCTTAATATCGGTGTCTCATCATCATGATCTCCCGTTAGGAAAATGAATAGAAGGGAAAATGTCCAGGGCGCCGCATAGAGAGAGAGAGAAAGAAAGAGCGCGCGCGAGAGAGAGCAGTGCGCATGAATAAGACGAGCCGTGTGTTTTACTGCGGAGAGCTGGAGGGCGAATAGCGTCCGTGTGCTGTAGTGCTGAGTCCGTGCGCGCTTGCAGTGGAAAGCAGTGCAGCAGGCTGGAGGCTGGAGGCTGGAGGGAATGCCGAGGAATGGCAAGCGGCTTCCACCGTCCACGGTCGGCTCGTACCATGTGTGCAGACGGGAGGGGGGCATACCCGAGAACGCGAGCGCTTTTTACGCGGCTGATAGTAGCTACGCTGGAAACGTGTTAGTAAAGCATGCAAAAAAAAACTTGTGTTTGACTGAATGCAAGCTGCTTTATTAGTTACCTTATACGATACGATCTTGTTGTAAAATATTAGAAGTAAATCGTATAATTTAACTTACAATTTACGAAGAAAAATGACTTTTTTATTAATAAAGCAAAACAAAAGATTGATCAAATTGTTTTTGTAACTAAAAACTTTGTAAAACCTTGCGGTTTATTAAAAAAAGTCAGTTTCCTAAAATCTGCATAATAATAATAATGATGATGATGATTATGATTATGATAATGGCATGGTGACATGGAGTGTTTGTTTTGTGTTTGTGATTTGACTTTGTTTTTGGTTTTTTTTAATTGTTGCAGACTTTTATTATACTGTGCCACTTGTTATTCTCAGAAGCCTACATTTTACATTAGGTCTATCAAACATTTAATAGTTCAAATAGACTGGTGTATTAAAAATGTTGCTTGCCCTCAGCAAATATTGCTCATTTAAATAATCAGATTTTACAAAAAAAAATGTTTTATGTTTAATAGTTTGATTAATTTGAAGATATACTTATGACGTAGGCTATTAAGACATTAAACGTGGGTATTGTCAGCTTATGTTTCTTAGATAAAATCAGAAAAATGCTTTAAGTGGTTTGTAAAAATTATGCACTTTTTAGCTAATCAAAGTGCATCACTGATCAATTTAATGATCAGTTACTAAGCCACATATTTCTTTATTTTATTCTTATTTATGTAGCCTTTTTATTTATTTTTTACAGTGACCATTTTTTCTGTGAATTTAATTTAAAAGAAATATAGCCCTTGTTTAACACAATAATTACGTGAACGCATTAAAGTCACACTGACACACGTACAGGTAATAATATATATATATATATATATATATATATATATATATATATATATATATATAAAATGAAGTAAATGTTTTACTAAAAAGTTATGTTCTCAGGACAAGAGAGTTTTTCATAAATAACAGGTCAGTGTAAGTCACATATTGTCTATTATACATTTTTAAATGTATAATTGTTTTACTGTTTTGCTAGAAAGTCTGTTTAATGACAGGTACAATTATGAAAACATACCCCATATAGTGTGACCATAATCACTATTAGGCATTGTTTGTTTATCATGTGTTCAATGAACTGTATATTTTTGTCTGGACAATAACAGTGTAACTGTTTCAATATATATATATTTGTTTTCTTTATGGTTTGTATCTGTACAGAAATCGACTCTCAAAATGAAACTCACCCTGAGAAATATTAAGTGGAGAAAAATTATTATTATTATTATATATTTATTAGTCAGTGCACAGTTTAGAAGCATCAACAAAAACATGACTGTTAAACAAATACAGAGGGAAAAAAATAAATAAAATCATGTTATGACAAAAAAAACTTTCAGCGCTATATAAACAGAATATAGTCAACAAAAAAAATCATAATTTAACAAGATTAAATGATTACTTTGTAGTTATTGTATAGCCCATAGTTCATAAATCAGGTACTAATAAAATAGAATGACTTATTTTAATACTGAACAATAACTATTGTGCTAATGTAGGAATGCAGTAGAAACACACAAAAGTGTATGCTTTATATAAATATCCTTGAAATTATGTAAATAATCCATATCAGTAATAGGTCTACATACTTACCTATAATTGAGTTACAAATTACCTTTATTCACATACATGTGAGTTTGTGAAGAAACTCTCCAAATGTTTTTGCAACAACCACCCAATGCCAGAAATGTGTAGCTTAATATAGGAGACAGCATTTGTGTTTTTCTGTTTTATTTCCATTGTTTGGCCCTGCCCTGCATGTTTAAGTAAGTCTTGCCCTCAAAATCCGAAGCTATATGAAAACTCTTCTTTTCTGCCTTGCTTCTCTGCAAGGTTAAAAAGAATGGTCAAGGGTCCCTATCCCTCCAAGTATGTTTGGTTACCCTGAGAACAAGAGAGAGGCCAGGAGGTGGTATGTGTGGGGTTCAATTCACTGCATTATCTTCTGAAAGCTAATCTCAGGCAAGCTTAGAGCTTCTTGCAGCTCCATGACTGTGAATGGGTCAGTGAAAAGTTAAATATTCTTTCACATGTAAAACTGCCAGGCCATGTTGGGATTGTGAACATGTCAGTGTGGGATTTGGAGACCCTTGGTTGACACAGGCAACAGGAAGACGGGGCTAACCTCATTATCAGTGGGTCCATATGGGTGTGTTTATGCACTCAGGCATATGGGGCCCTTGCTATCTGGGCTTTAATAAAGTCAGGTAGAGTGAAAACATAAAACTCAAAGTCTATAAGTAGGCGTTGGTTAGATTTACAAGATAGTATATGATTTGCACAGCCAATTTGGATTAAATGTGAGATTATGGAAACACAAATTTATCCTACATACTGGCATGTGGCACTTTTTACTTTTTGTATTGACTTTTTGTATTGATTTATCTGCTTAGAAAATGTATAACGGTTATAAAAAGTTTGTGTTTATTATCTTGGCATTAAATTACAGAAAACTAGTTAATACTGCTGAATGAGTGTTTCAAATACAATGGCTGATGACAGCTAATTTGACATCTTTCTTCTGACCTATGTTGGTTTAATTAATCTCTTGATATGTTTTTTTTCTCTCTCTCTTTAGGAAAGTCTTAGAAACGCTATTGGGTATTTCTTTTATTTCTTTTTTTATTTTTTTTGCTATTGGGGCAAATAGAAACAAAAAGATTATATTTCTTACAGTTTCTGTTAACCCAACTATGATGACGTCTGCTTCTGAGAACCCAGGAAATGTGAAAAGCGTCCATAAAAAGACAGTGTACCACAAAATAAAGGTGAGAAACAGCTCATTATTGAGTCACTTTGGGCTTGCTGCACAAACAAGATAGTTACAGCGATGGCGCTGACGCTGATGGCTGCCTCCGTGGCGTGCTCCGCAGTTGTTTTTATGTTTTTGTTAGTTTGTCCTGTCTTTAGTTATCCAATCAGCAATCAGTTTCACCAAAGACGAATTGCTGGACATTCGGAAGTACACACCACCCGATATTTCACCGGTTTTTGACTATTCTGATGGTTTGCTGGACATTGTAGGCGGGGGACCTGCGGCGCTGATCAAGCGCTTCAGGACGCGCAGATGGGGGAAGCGAGCCGGCGCCCTCGTCAAGCTCAGGCAGCGCGGATTCAGAACGCCATTACCTAGCATCCATCTGGCGAACCTCCACTCTCTACCCAACAAAACGGACAAGCTCCTTCTGCTCCTCCCAGACAAATAAGGATTTTTCAAACTCTGCTGCTCTGTGTTTCATGGAAACCTGGCTGAAAGACGCCATTCCGGACAGCTCGTTGAGTCTTCCAGGCTTTCAGCTGTTCAGAGCGGATCGCGACGCAGAATCAACAGGGAAATCACGTGGTGGCGGGACATGCTTTTACATCAATGAGAGGTGGTGTACAGATGTAACTGTGTTAAAGAAGATGTGCTGTTCAGATCGAGCCGTTCTATTCACGGTGGGAGTTTTGCTCATTCATTCTCGTCAGTGTCTACATTCCTCCACAAGCACACGTGAGCTCCACTTTACAGAAACTCGCTGATCAGATCACAGACACAGAACAACAACACACGGACTCTGTTGTAATCATTTTCGGGGACTTTAATCAAGCAAATCTCTCCCATGAACTGCCAAAATACAGACAGCACATCACATGTCCCACCAGAAACAGTAATATATTGGATCACTGTTACACCACAATAAAGAATGCATATCACTCTGTCCCACGAGCAGCTTTGGGGCTCTCTGATCACTGTTTGGTTCATCTTATACCGACCTACAGGCAGAAACTGAAATCAGCTAAACCTGTATTAAGGACTGTAAAAAGATGGACTAATGAAGCAGAGCAGGATTTACAAGCTTGTTTTGACCTCACTGATTGGAGCGTCTTTGAAGCTGCTGCCACCGATCTGGACGAGCTCACAGAGACTGTAACATCTTATATCAGTTTCTGTGAAGACATGTGCATTCCTACCAGGACTCACTTAACTTACAACAATGACAAACCATGGTTCACTGCAAAACTCAGACAGCTCCGTCAGGCCAAAGAAGATGCTCACAGGAAGGGGGATAATGTCTTGTATAAACAGGCTAAATACACACTGGAAAAGGAGATCAGAGTGGCAAAGAGGAATTATTCTGAAAAAATAAGGATTAAATTATCTTCCAGTGACTTAGCATCAGTGTGGAAAAAGTCTGAAAGAAATCACCAACTACAAGACACCATCCCCCAGCACTGTGGAGAATCAACAACTGGCAGACGATCTGAATGAGTTCTACTGCAGGTTTGAAAAAACACCCCACACCCGCCCTGAACACCTCTCCACACAACCATTCACACCACCAGCAACCCCCCTCTCCCCCACACCTGCAATTCAGATCAGCGAAGATGAGGTGCGCCAGGTCTTCCGGAAGCAGAAAAGGAAAGAAGCCCCAGGCCAAGATTGTGTTACACCAGTCTGTCTGAAATCCTGTGCTGATCAGCTGGCCCCCATCTTCACACAGATCTTCAACAGATCACTGGAGCTGTGCGAAGTCCCTTCATGCTTCAAATGCTCCACCATCATCCCCATCCCAAAGAAATCCAAAATTACAGGACTTAATGACTACAGGCCTGTGGCTCTAACGTCTGTGGTCATGAAGTCTTTTGAAAAACTGGTGCTGGCCCACCTGAAGGACATCACTGAACCCTTGCTGGATTCTCTTCAGTTTGCCTACAAACCAAACAGGTCTATGGACGATGCAGTCAACATGGGACTGCATTATGTTCTGCAACATCTAGACAGACCAGGGACTTATGTGAGGATCCTTTTCGTGGACTTCAGCTCGGCCTTTAACACCATC